AAAATGTTTGAAGTAAAAAAATAGTAAAAAAGATAAATACACGTGATATGTTGCTATACCCCTCCCTCCCCCACGTGATATTTCGTGATTTTTTGTCAAACCCCCCCCTCCCCCAAAACCTCACGTGATTAATGGACACCCCCTAAGCACTATGGATTTGCTTATTTTGGGTTGTCATGGGGGGCAGGGGAGTCTGGATGATGATTACGTCATAGGTAGTATTTTTATTATTTACCGCATGGCAACCTTACATTGCCTTTGTCAGTACCAAAACTAAAATAAGTTTGTTATGTTCGTAAGATTATAATAATTTTTTTACCCTATGTTGAATACCATATCAGTAAAATCTCTACATCCTAAACCTATTTTTTTATTTTTAAATTTATAATTATAATCTAATAATTACAATATTTAAAAAAACAATACATTAATTGCAAAATTTTTACGTAAGCATGGGGATAGGGGGTAAGAGCTTTGCTTACTTTTGATGACAAGAGGGATGGGGGGGGGGGTAAATAATTGTAATAAATCTGCTTACGTAATACTTAACGATCCCTTATGCAACTTATAGAAACCTACACTTGAATTCTCAAGACCATTGTCCATCCAATAGGATAATAATGAAAGCATTAGCGTATGGGTATTAGATTGCTCTAGTTTTTTTTTATTTACTTATTTTTTGTTGAAAATATTTTGTTATTCACGATGTATTATATTTAATTTTTATGAAATATTATTTTTCAAAGAGCAAGTCTAAAAGTCGGAAATCAAAACATTTAACAAAAAACTGAACCTGAACTAATATCACTTTTACTATTTTTATTTCATTATATTTATTTTCATTATGCGCTTTTGTGAATATGTCTGTAGTAATATATATTATATTTGTGAATACATGCATGTTTTGTAGATGTAAAAATAGGTGCTTTTACATACTAACAATAGTATGAGCCTATTTATAATTCTTTAAGTGGATATAATTATACCTAATTCGTAAACCTTATTTGCAAAATTATACATGATTACCGTACTGCCTTTAATTTAATGCATCGTTGTATCAACTTCTTGTATATTTGTGCTATAATAGTAATAAGAATTTTTTAGTTCTTATTACCAAACACTAAGAAATAATCATTAAAGTTGAACATTTCATACGAGACATTATGACAGAGAATAAAGGGCTAACGACGCGAAAGGGGTAGCGAGTGATATTTTTATTCATTCTCGGATTATTTTTTATTACAGCGTAAGATTTATGGTATCGTTGTGATAGCTACAAACAAAAGGCATGATGATCACGCGTTGAAGACCCAATTTCATAGTAGATCGAAATTTGTTTTTAACTTTGATCCACATTTTCGTGTTAATAATTTTAGGTGCGTATAATAACACTGTATTAATTCGATAAAATTTGAAATTATTAATGTATTGTTGCCTTAAAAATAACTACAGTTTATAAATAAAGCGTAGAGAATATTAGCACAATTATGGAGTTAATTTATTCATAATTAGAAATTAAGGTGATATTCTGGTCTTAATTTTTTTAAATTAATTTTTTTTCTTCGGATATTTTTAAATTTCAACTATTCGTGAATATGTGAGCATGAGGATTTTTCAAATTTAAATTATTTTCGAGATATAGCTGTTTTTGACCACGATAATCCTCCTCTTTTTTTTCCTCCGCGTTTTTCTCGAAATTGTCTTTTTCGATACGATCTCACGATTTCTAACTTCTACTAGACTGATTTACTTAAATTTTAACAAAATCTTTTTATTGACATGTCTTTAGTATGAACTACGTACATTCCGAAATTCCGATTATTACTATTTTTAAAAAATTAGAGACTATCCGAAAAAGTTGCAAATTTTTTAGTCGTTATTCTAGTGTAGAAATTCAAAAATCATTTTTTTTTATTTCATATTTTCAAAGTTTAACTATCTAAGAATATGGGTACGAGAAGGTTTTTGAAAATTTGAATTATTTTCGGAGATATAGGCATTTTACTGACTCGGTCTCCATACTGGTTTGGCTTCACGCAAAACTTTAAATGCGTTATTCTGAGAACAACTTTTTTCAGTACTGTTGACACGATTTCTCAAGTTTTAATCGACCGATTCACTTGATATTCAGAGAGTCTTGTTTATAGACCTATCTATACCCGAACTAGGATTCCCAAATTCCATTTTTACTATTTTTAAAAAATTCGAGAAACTCAAAAAACAGTAAAAAACACTTTTTCAAACAGTCGCCAATTTGTAAAAAAAATACTCATTGCTAGTTCGGGCGATTGCGACATCATTGTAGATTAATAATCTTTTTAATTTTTGCATTTCCGATGGCTAGGAGGGCTGAAATCATGTCAAGACT